ACCGACAATGTTTTACTGTCTATCTTGGGAAGAGTCGATACACATACGGCTGCCAGGACAAGTGCGCTCTCCACACGGTGGAGTCATCTGCCTTGGCTGCTGCCTGAGCTCAGCATCGACGTCAAGGATTTCCTATCTTCCCCACTCCTGAAACCTATCAAGACGAAGGATATGGAGGAAGCAATGGAATCTCTAACGAAAGCTACCAGGAGTTTCTTGGTTAAGCCACGGAGAGAATTTGCCATCTCAAGTCTACACCTTCAGCTCTACTTTATAAACACTTTCTTGTTCGAAGTTGGCCTACTTGTAGGTGACACAATCAACAGTGGTTCGTTGAAAGATTTAGATCTCGCCATTCTTGATGAGAAAGATTCTTTGGAATGCGCTGAGGAGGATATGCTGCAGCGAGCACAAGAAATATATTTACTTTTCACTGCCCACCCTAGTGTGCTCAGCTGCCTCACAAAGCTCTCTCTACAAAGTGTAGAGTTTGATAAATTGGACATGCACCATATCATCTTTGACTGCTGCAAGCAACTGAAGCATCTAAGCCTCACTGAGTGTGATATCAGTGGTGATGCGTATCTTTTTAAGATTGATGCACCAAACTCGAAACTATGCGTTCTAGAGCTCACTAAGTGTAGCTTTGGGAAACTTGAGGTGGTCTGCCTTCCGAAATTGGAGAAGTTCAATTTGAATTCTTGGCTTTTTAACTATATGCCATTGGCCTTTGGTTTTGTCCCGTCTCTTGGAGAATTAGAACTCATAAATACGCGAGGGTGTTATGAGGAACTTAAGTTAAGTGAGCTTCTATATGGAACCACATGCATGCATACTCTCACATTGGATTTCGAAGGAGAAAACGTGAGTTATATTTCAATTTTTGTGAAGTGGTCATATTTTTGCTTGCATTTGTTAGTTATACAGCTACTAGAGTTATATCATAGACGTGTTTATTCATGATATTGATTAAGTATAGCTGTAAAATCTTTCATAACGTCATTTCTGTGCTCCCAAACTATCAACTCTTAATTGTTTATCTTCTGATCAGCTTTGGATGCAACCTGAAATGAAGCAACTTTGCCCGGCTTTCAACAAGCTAAGGAAGTTGTTTGTGCGTGGTATCTTTGTTGAATTTGACATTTTATGGACGATGTCCTTTCTTGCAGCGGCACCATCTATCGAGATGTTACATATCGAGGTGATTCCGTAATAAATTATGTCGCTTTTCTTTCGTTATCCAAATTTAGAGGCCTTAGTTTTTGACAAAATTAGCTGGAAGTTATTTAACACTCAAATCCAAGTGCATATGTATCATTTTTTTCCACCCAATAGATATGGGACCATGTATGCGATGTGGGTGAAGTGGAAGATGATTATAGACGACAGAACAACACTGAAAGAAGGACTCCTCAATGGGAAGTGGACTTTAACGACACAAAGAATTGGATTTTGAAAGAGCTAGAATTCATCGGCTTCAGGTCACTAGAACAACAATTTACATTCATAAGATCTGTGTTGCAGCGGTCTCCCAACTTGCATAAGATAGTTCTGAAAAGAGACGACGAATGTGATTTATGTGCTGCTCATGGTGCACTGCCTTCAAAATTCCCCAAGAAGGATGAACAAGAAATGATCATGAGGCGAATTAGAGATGGCATATTCTCGCCCCAAATAGTTTTTGATGAGTATTCTGAAAGGAGACGAAGAATGTGACTTATGGTACGGTGTGCCGCCTTTGAAATTTGCCAAGATGGATGAGGGAGAAATGGTCATCAGGAAAATGTGTTTTGATGAATAAATTGTAACAAGGCATCTTCTCATGCCAAATGATGTTGATACGTAAGGTGTAGGAAACAATTTGTATAGAAAACTATTTTGATGCTATGTTTTGGACGTCGCTATTGCTAATAAGATTTCTTTGTGCTGAATATGATCACAAAGTTCAGTCTTGGATATGTTTTGCGCAATCAAGAAAATATGCAAACTTGTTCACTGTGAAATATAGGGAGGAGATAAGTAAACAGTGTCTCTAAAAATGTGCTCTAGCACTCTTCAGGATGACTCAAAACTCTAAATCCAGCTGAAAGCCTGAAACATCGTTTTAAACCTTTGGGGGGAAAAGCCATCACAATTCTGAAATCGGCAGAAAAATGTAGCACCCTCATAGGATTTTAATCAGCAGAAAAAAATTGGCATCACTACTACTGTGCCATCACACTAGCAGAACAACATGTATCCAGATATCAAGACGGGAGACATTGTGTACCATCACTAAAGGAAAAATTGAACAAACAAAAGTCAATCAAAATTGAACAAACAAAAGTCGATCAAAATTGAACTTGGCTCTTCTCATCAACAAGATCTCACATGATGACGTACATTATAACGAGCAAGTCACAGTCGGATAACATCTGTAGAAATAACTAAAGATAAATATATACGCATGATTAATTTGCACATTTTGCAAGTTGATGCGACATTTGACAGTTCAAGTTTGCTTCAGCCACACTGAGCGCCTAGCATTACGGCATCAGCAGGCATGCAAGAGATTGAGCACCCTGCATGAGTACTTCACGACGACAAAGAACATGACCTTAGGTACCTGCACAGTGCGGTGGTAAACTTCATCAGCGAGCCGATTTTGGCTAGTCGTTAGGGAAAAAAATTCTGCAAAAACAGTATCTGCAAGTTCAAACAGCACTAGGAAAACAATCTCTACCAGTTAAACATGTTCTCACATCTCTTTGCACATCTCAGCACAAAAATGACATGCAGCGAACCATACAACCATAGGCTGCCAGAGGTGAACACTGTACTACCAAGCTTACAGGTCCTGTGTGGTGGTAAACTTTGTAATACAACAAGGGTAACATCATGTAAACACCAGCGGCAAGGCATGATGAAGAAACATCTCCAGTTATACTTCTGTCCCAAGATGATTAGGTGAGTTGAGATTTATCGAACCCACATAAATGGGAGCATGACTTCATGTTTAAAGGATAGAAACCTTCTGGTCACTGTATTTTCTGAAAACTGAAATGCATACTCCAGTTCATGCTGCTGCAACTATACATCAAAAGGATATTAAATGTCTGACCTGATAAATAGCATCACTGCAGCACATTAGCACGATGAAATATGAACTGTGCAGATGCAGAGGGAAGTGTTTCACAGCTCCAAGAGAAAAGTCGAATAACGTCGATCTGAGAGCTGTTGTCATCTAAGTACTAGAGAAACAGAACTAAAACACATGGTTCAGGGTTCTAACTGTATTCTGTATAGCACACAGCTTCTTTACCAATGCTGAGAATATCGACCCATTCCATATGCACGGCAACAACATGCAAGCAAAACAAGAGAAATACAGTAAGTTAAACGCCACATCACCTCTTTAACCAACAAAGCATCTCCACAGATGTGACAGTACAATCATCTCAACTGTTGTTCAACATTTCAGCTTGATCATCTCCACCACCAATGGTAACTCCTATGAGAAGAATGAGTCAATATTAATGGCAATTATGGGCAAGAAAATAACTGATACAAGATGGCGACACTTCAGTGAAGCCACTGTTACATATCTCACCTTGCATAAAGCACTTGATTTTGCAACAAGATAAGGAAGACTTTAGAAATGACATGTAATACAAGATTAAAAGAGGCAGTATGTAGGTTGTTTCGTTCGTTCATAGCATCCTCCCCACCGAACAAAAGGCCTCCTCTCCCACCAATTTACCTTAACTGAATCTAGTAGCTTAAACTTAAAGAGAAACAAATCTTGCGATGACTTGCTAATTAGTTGTCAAATCATATTATGCAACACACCTCTCATGTGTCAGTGAGATCATATTATCCAACACCACAGCAGGGCAACAAGGACAGAACAATTATAAATCGGCGCTCAGAAACAGCTATACTCTTCCTTTTAACTGTATAGTAATAAATCACCTTTAAACGGAGCAGCATTGACTAAGTTTACAATAGATCTAAAAGTATCACTGACAGTACATTAATAAGTTGATTTCTCCCCAATTCAGACTAATTCTTTTATGCATTATGATGGACACAAATGGTAGATGCTGGGTCTGGATGAAGAGAAACATATGCAAGGAAGAATGCAAGGACTTCATAATTTCATATACATTTGTCAGTTGTGAACGGTTGTCTTGTTGGTGAATTCGCGCAGGCGATAATTTTGACAGCTAAAGGCCGGCACTCTTCGGTGACATTATAGTAGAGGGAAAGTCTGTAAAAAGCAGCTGAAAGCCCAGTTTGGAGCAAAAAGAAAACACAGGACACACACCTACCAGAAAGCAAAACACAGGCTAGTGTACCCAAGACCCAACAACTACTCCCTGCAGACGATAATGATAGTGTACATGGATAAGCAAACTGTACAAGAACCAGTAGAAGCCAGGAGGATGTGGGATCAATAATTAGTAGGTACAGAGCATAAACAGTTCATCATCTAATATTTCATCTGCAATGAGCTATGGCACATATGCTTGAAAGTTGATAGCATTAACAATGCAGACAAGATTAAAGTGAAGTGTGCAACATCGTCACAATGACAAGTACCTGGAGCATAGAAACTTGTGTAAGGAATTACTGTGCCATATGTCCCTTTCTCTGACACCTCCTCGATCCGCATGGACTTGAGATGGATCATATAGACCCTAGGGTGCACATAAATGAAGATCACCCCAGCATCTTCAGCATAACCAATTGCCTCCACTCCATAGATTCGTGTCGCCACCACTTCCGGCGCAAGAAACTTCTTGAGATCAATGACCCTCTGATGTGTCCATGTCACCAACCCGTCAATGCTCGCCATCAACGACCACAGATGGAGATTGAGTCCATCCACTCCGGCCAAACCAAGCAGTCCATCCTCGGTCGGCATGATGACAACCTGCCCCTGGTAGCTACAGCGAGCGTGGTATGGGAACTCCTCAGTAAGACCCAACCTATGATTATCCAAATCATACTCAAAGATACTACAGTTTTGCAGCAACCAGTAGTGTGTTCCCAACCAGAGCTGTCGGTCTCGGAACAAGTGATAAAGATGGTATCTCGATCGAGGTTGCCTCATCCCAGACGCCGGTCTCTGACGCACAGATAGCAGAACCACTCCGACTGAACACATAGACCACGAGGAACGGGCAGGAATGGCAGTCACCGTGGTCGGCATGTCCGGCCGCGCAGAGAACCGTGCTGTTGCAAATCCCACCGCAAGCCGGGGGAACGCGAAGGTAGCGCTGGTGTCCGGTCACAAGGTCCCAGACGAGGAGCCTTCCGGACCCTAACTTTTCAAGGAGGGCCCGGCCGTGGCGGCAGTTGAGGGCCGACCAGTTGCCGGTGGACATCTTGGCAGCGGTGGAGGGGGCGAAGCCGCCGGAGGTGGGGACGAAGAGGGGAGGACCCAGCTGGTTGTTGAAGAAGACGAGGACGGGAGGCGTCCCCCTGTGGAAGTCAAGGAAGCGGCGGAGGAAGCGAGCGCCGTGGACGAGGCCGCGCCAGAGCTTGGAGACGAAGGAGGCGCGGAAGAGGTGGATGGGCTCCGGCGGGAGGCGGAGGAGGATCTCCACGAGCATGTCGTCCGGGAAAAACGAAAGCGGAGGCGGCGAATCGGGGCGGCGGCGACCACCGGCGAACTCGTCCATGGTGATGGGGTTCGGGAATTGGGGATGGCATCGAGTATCCCCAATCCCGTCTTCGTAACGTGGGATTTTTGCGAAATGGTCCTTAGGTAGTTATTTGATATTTGAGGTGTTCTATAAAAAAACACATTTTCTACAATGTTAAAGTTATGCTACATGTTTAAAGTTATGCTACATGTTTTTTTCTTGGCCTTTGAGTGAATGACTTTCTTGGCTAATCAACAAAGAATCAGCCATCTCACATTTGCACCTTAAGGTCTATTTGATAAACACTTCCTCATGTGAAGTTGGCCTACTGATTGGTGACCCAATCGATAATGTAGTTTGTCGAAAGATTCGGATCTCACCATTTCTTGATGAGGTGGATCCTGTCGGTTGTAATGAGTAGGATATGTTGCAGCAGTCCTGAAAATAGAAGGTTCTTTTCAATGCCTACACAAAATTGTGCTCCATTGCCTCAAGACTCTTTGCACAATTTAGGGTTGGTCCAGTTGGAAGATTGTTTCCTTATGCTTGATTGATTCTGTTACACTTACACATTACATCATATATACCTTGAGAGAGAGGGCCCGTGAGAATAGGCACGCAGGCCAACGGGGCAAGGAGATCCATAAATCTAGGATCGGACTACGTACAACATGATACAGTATATGACTACAATGTACACTTGTCAATACCCCCCCTCAGCCGGAACACCATGTGGAAGGGTGTTAAGGCTGGACCGAAACTCGTGAAAAATCTGCGATGGTAGACCCTTGGTGAACACGCCCGCATACTGTGAGCTGGAGGGAACGTGAAACACCCGCACTTCGCTGAGTGCCACATGATCATGAACAAAATGCAAGTCGATCTCGATGTGTTTAGTCCTCTGGTGCTGAACCGGATTGCTGGCAAGGTAGGAGGCACTAATGTTGTCACAATACACCACAGTAGCTCGAGTCGGTGGCACCTGGAGCTCAAGAAGGAGCTGCCGCAACCAGCAAGATTCGGCCACACAATTCGCAACTCCACGATATTCAGCCTCCGCACTCGAACGGGAAATGGTGGGTTGCCGCTTTGAGGACCAGGAGACAAGATTGGTGCCAAGGTAGACACAGAAGCCGGATGTCGACTTGCGGGTATCAGGGAAACCGACCCAATCCGCATCTGTATAAGTGGTGAGATATGTGGATGGCGACCGAAAAATCTGAAGACCAAAGTGAGAGGTGACTTGGAGATACCAGAGAATGCGCTTCACAAGTTGCATGTGAATGTCGTGGGGTGCATGCATGAACAGGCAAGCCTGTTGCACCGCATAGGTGATGTCGGGTCGTGTGAGAGTGAGGTATTGTAGGGCACCAGTTAGGCTGCGGTAGTGGGTGGGGTTGTAGAGAAGTTGGCCGTCATGAGAGGACAACTTGGCGGTGATGTCAACCAGGGTGGAAACGGGCTTACAATTGAGCATTTTAGCTCGCTCAAGAAGCTCGAGTGTGTATTGTTGTTGACAGAGAAAAAGACCGAGGTGTTGGTGGTGACGTTGATACCCAAGAAATGGTGGAGGGTACCAAGATCAGTCATGGCGAATTCCTTCCTGAGAGAGGAGATGATGTAGTGAAGTGTGGTAGGGGTGCTTGCAGTGAGGATGATGTCATCCACATAAACGAGCAAATATGCAAGAGAGGAGCCATGATGCAAGATAAAAAGTGAAGTGTCGCTCTTGGAACCACGAAACCCAAGTGAGAGCAAGAAGGCTTGAAAGCGAAGAAACCATGTCCGAGGAGCTTGCTTGAGGCCGTAGAGAGACTTACGGAGGAGACAGACATGATCCTGCTTAGAGGAGTCAACAAACCCAGCCGGTTGCAAGGAGTACACTGTCTCATTGAGTTCACCATGGAGGAATGCATTTTTGACATCAAGTTGATGAATGGGCCATGAATGAGAAGTGGCAAGACTCAACAAAACCCGAATGGTAGCCGGCTTGACCACGGGACTGAACGTCTCGGAGTAATCCACACCCTCTTGCTGAGTGAGCCCACGAACAACCCACCGTGCTTTATACCGAGACAAGGATCCATCAGTGTTGAACTTGTGGCGAAAAATCCATTTGCCCGTGACCACATTTGCACCTGCAGGCTTAGGCACCAAAGACCAAGTAGAGTTATTCGTTAAAGCATTAAACTTGTCGAGCATCGCTTGGCGCCAAGGGGGATCCTTGAGAGGGTTTTGTATGTGGGTGGAATGGGTGAGATGGGTGTGGTAGAAGTATTAGCTAGAAATAATCGTTGGGGCGTAAGGTAGCCTGATTTAGCTCATATGGACATTTTGTGGGAGTTTTGGGGTGGATGTACTGGAACGGCGTGTTTGGGAAGAGGTGGCGAAGGGGTACTAGACGCTGCGGAATCTGAGGTGGATTCGGTGGGGCCTGCGGAAGGGGCGGCGGGGCTGGTGGGTGGCAGATCCGAGGTGGATCGGGAAGCAGGTGCGCTCGTGGGGGAGGCAGGCGGGTCGTGAGGGACTGGCACAACAGTCGAGGTGGGGTGGGCGGGGGAAGCGGGGGACACGGGTGACGTGGGGTGTGGGGAGAGGCCGGGCGACTGGTCAGAGCCAGCTGGTGGGGGGCCACCTGGGAATCCGTCGGAAAGATCCGCCTCGGGATTCAGGAAAGTGGGATGGGCAGGTGGTGCATGGGGATTTTCTGTGGACGTAGTGGGGGTGTGGTCAGGGGGGGTGCTGTTTACGGAAAAATTGTGTCGTCAAAAATTATGTGGCTAGACACAATGACTCGGCGAGTGGTAAGATCATAGCAGCGATAGCCTTTGTGTTCGAGAGCATAGCCAAGAAAAACACAGCGGGTGGAGCGTGGGGCAAGTTTGTGATCCATAGTGGCATACAAATTTTGGAAGCATAGGCAACCGAAAACACGTAGATGATCATATGTGGGGGGCACGCCATGAAGAAGAAAATGCGGTGTGTGGGGAGCAATGGCACGTGATGGTCGTCTATTTAGCAGATATGTGGCGGTGTGAAGCGCCTTAACCCAAAAGGGGGGAGTGAGGTTGGCTTGTAGGAGGAGGGTGCGCACTATGTCATTGGTGGTATGGATTATACGTTCCGCCTTGCCGTTTTGGGGGGAAGTGTGGGGACAAGAGAAGCGATAAGCGATGCCATTGGTGGAGAAGAAGGTACGAAGAGAGGCATTGATGAACTCGCCGCCATTGTCGCACTGCATGCTTTTGATGACCGTGTGAAATTGAGTGTGAACGAAAGTGAAGAAGCGTTGGAGAACGGTGGAGGTGTCGGATTTGTTTCGGAGGGGAAACGTCCATGAGAAATGCGTAAAGTCATCTAACACAACAAGATAATATTGGAAACCAGAGAAGCTTACAACAGGAGATGTCCATAAATCACAATGTATTAAATCGAAAGGAGCATAAGCCTTGCTAAGAGAGGATGGGAAAGGTAGACGTGGTTGGCGGCCTAGTTGGCATGCACTACAAGGTGAGTGGGGAGCCTTATTATATTCACTAAGAAAATCTATAGAGATGGAAGCAAGAGTTTGAGCGCCGGGGTGTCCGAGACGACGATGCCACAAATCCGTGGTAGTGATGGTGAAGAGTGCAGACGCCAGCAGCGGATCTACAGGGTGGCCAGGGTGGGCCGCGGCCCACCCTGAAATTGTGAAACTGCTTATATAAATATATATCTAAATGGGCCAGAGAGGAAAAAAGGCCCACTGTCCTGTCCAAGGACGACGCAGCCACGGTCCACATCGAGCAGAACCCTCGCCCCCTCGCGCAGCAACTCAACCCCGACGGCCGCCAGCCAGCCGCCTCGCCATCACGGCGTCGCCAGTCGCCCGCCGGAGCCCAGCACACCCAGTCCGGCAGCGCCCCTGTCCGGCCGCCCACCCAGTCACTGTCAGCCGCGCCCCTGCGCTGCACGCGGCTGCGCACCTGCGCACCTGCGGTCCCGGTGTCCCACCTCCACTTCCCGTCTTCTCGCCAGCCCGGCCACCCGCAACAAAGCCCCACCACGGTGACAAACAAGTTACACGTACTTTTTGCCCCAATTTTAGACTTAGGATTTGCCTTTTTGCCCCAATTTCAGACTTAGAGTTTGCCTATTTACCTCAATTTCCTTCACATGAACACATACATAAAATCGGTCTGTATGCTTGAATTGGAATATATGCAGAATTGATGTAAAATTTTAGTTGGCTTGAAAGAAGCCATAAATGATTGAATTCTGCCTCAACTAGTTTCATTATAGTTAGCTTGGATGAAGCCAACTATCATTTCTGCCTCAATTACTTCCATTTTGCACATAATGAATCAATTTACTTGTGTATTGATAGGAAGTAAATTTTTATTACAAAATCATTGAAGCACAGGCTTATTTGTGCAAAACTTAGTTTTAATTGAGAATTCTAGTGTGTATGTAAGACCATATTGATCTATTTCTATGTGATACTAAGAACTAGTTAGAACATTCACATGTCATATTTATTGTCAATTTTTTTAGGGCGGACCACCCTGATGGCAAATGCTAGCTCCGCCACTGGCAGACGCCCGAGCTGGTTTATTACCGACAAAGGGATAGAGATCGCCATGGCTATCGATATCATGAGAACTCTCCGAGTGCGAAGATCCTTCACAAGAAAACCACACGGGTAAAATTCGATAGAGCAAGAGTTATCCTTAGTGAAATTGCGAACGGAAAATAAGCTAGTGACAACAGTGGGAGAAACAAGAATATCGGTAAGACGAAAGTTATGAGGAGGATGAGTGGTGGAACCAGCAGCAGTGACGGGGAGATGATGCCCATTACCAACAAGAATGCTAGACGGTAAATGCTCTAAGGAAGAACTATACTTGGCGAGGTTACCTGGAGTGCCGGTGACGTGGGAGGAGGCGCCACTGTCTAGGTACCATTCAGGAGCCAGGGGAGCGGGGCAGCCACCGTTGCTGAAGGCGGCGTTGAGCATTGCGAGGTGATACCACGAGGGCTGGGGCTGAGAGTAGAAC